TGCTATCGGGAGCGATCAACTCACCTAAGATCATGAAGCCTATGGCGAATACAGCTCTGATCAAATTCGATACTAGTAAGATCACATTTTGGACAAAGAGATGATCAAGTCGGATATAACATAGAATTACAAGATAGCTGTGTGTATTTTTTCGGTTACCCGCTCTTAGATACTCATGTCAGATACCCGCTCATTCGCCCTTCCAAATTGGAGGAAATTACTCAAAAACACATAAATCCCTTAGAATCCATAGGTTCAAAGTCTTAGCTTTAGCTGAAAAACGCTTACAGTCTGCCCAACGATATCTAGTTTTCTCGAAGGTTGATAACGTCCACTGGATCGCATCAATTCCAACTTTTGGCGATACTCTGCCCATGTGCCGTCGCGGATCATCCTGATACGAGGGCTGGTGTGTTTCGTCAAGGGGATCTGATAAACCGCCGCATTCACACACCAGAAGATCAAGCCCAAGGCCACTAAAACCACCAACGAAAGTCTGCTCCAAATCATTTTCAGAGAACTGAAATTTGAACAAATTAGGCCTGATTGGAAGACTAATTAACTGACGACTCGGCAGCACAATCGCTACGTTCGTTTTGGAGATACAAAAGAGGATGGGTTTGATGTGGTCTTTAAGTACACTTAAGTACCCTTTTCCATTTTAAAGGCACAAGCAAAAATAGCATTGTTTGTGTGGAATCGAATGCTGCTTATGGATCAATCATCAAAAATCACCACAAAAAATCAATCAACGGCTTATCAGTTGATAGCCGAGTGAGTGCACTCCCTAAGTACAAATAAAAATGATAAGGTGATTACCTTAAAAATTGATAAACTCATGACTTTTCTCGATGCTCTTAGTAATGCCATTACTGCAGCAGCAGTAATTTTGTAGACTGTAAGCATCCACACCCTCGTGATCAGATCATAATATGATTTTCAAACGGCCATTTGATCAACGGCTATCGATTAGGACAAAAACTACTGCTGATGATGCTTCACTACAAGTAAATTTTACTGAGTACAGCTTACAGAACATACTTTTTGATACTGAAATGAAACCTTACTAGATTACTTACTGTTTAAGTGACACACTCCCATTGATATCGAT